TTGTTTTGGACTCTTCCTCTTCAAAACTTTTGATTTTGGAATTGGGGATTTGTTTAATCCCTAGACTCTAAATCCCTAAAGTGTATTTTATTTCTTTTAAAAAAATAAAATATTAAAGTAAACTTAATTTAAGTCAATGGTTTAAAAATTGGAGGAAAAAAACGTTTTAGCTATCTAAAAACTAAAGACAAAAAAGTTACAGCTGTCTAAAAAGTAAAAAAAAAACGTTGAAAGCCTTTAAAAAAAATAGACTTCAGCAAGGTTCGAACTCCCAACTCCTAGGTCAATGACAAGGCGGAACTTTGTAGCCCCTGAACCGCTGAACCAACACTTCAACTTGGTTCAGGAGTGTCAATTCTAATATATATAGGTATAAAAATAGAATTTGACTTACCTATACAATGTAATTTTCCGATGAAGGGGTGTCGCTTGACACCCCTCGGGCAAGGGTAGCTCCGCCCCTGAGTCTCTACCTATTATAATAGTAAAGCCACAACATATATTTTTGTCACGTGAAACATGTGTGGATTGTTTGAAGCCATATTTGAAACTTTAAGAAGTAATTTTGACCTACATACAATATCATTTCTATATACACGATATAATTTTCGACAAAGAGTATTCAATATGTAATTTTTTGATAAAAATTATTCAAATGACCACCATTCAATAGGTTCTGCTTATAAACAAGACAAGAAAGAATACATTCCATGCATGATTTGAAGGTTTATGCAAATATGATATGACTTTTTTGAGATACATGGATGATAAAATGGATGCCTAATTTATGGTTCTCATTTTACTCTTTATGTATAAATGGATGCCTAATTTATGGTTCTCATTTTACTTTTTGCAATTTATTGCTTTTATCCCAAATTCAATGTACTCATGCAAATTGTAATTCTTTTAATTTTCTGGTCTTGTATAGCTTGAAGGAAATGTTATTAGCTATCTTTTATTCTTTTCTATCCGAGGTTCAATATTCGATTCAGAGCACCAATCAATTCAAAAATTATTAAAAATATGTAAAAGTTTCCTGATAAAAGTCCCGTTGGAAATTAGCTCGTTGTTAAGAGATTTTCGTTAGTAGTAGAGTTTGCATTGCGTAAGACCTATTAAAAAGAAGAGCACTTCCACTTTCGAGGCTTGAATCTAATTAAGGGTGAAGGGAACCTATTTACCCCATCGCATCCCTTTTAGGTGTTTACCCTAATTTTTCATGTTTGAGGTTTTCTTTATCTTGAAAGAAAAGAAATACATTCACCATAATTAATTCTTTTATCCTAAAAAGAAAATATAAATATTTTTTATTTGGCTAAAAAAGTAAATTGGAGGAATAAAGTAAGTTGGTCCTTCCTTCTCATTAGCATTAAGGAGGTTAGAGAGTTGGAGTTTTGTTTAGGAGAAGAATTTTCGAGACACCAATGCTGCCTTGCCACTTGTGATAACCTCTTTAAGAGTGCATTTTATAAAGTTAGTCTTTCGATATTTTATACTTTTAAAAAAAAATATATAGTTATGGTTCATCTTCACTTATGAATATAAGTTAATTGATTGAACCACATTAAATTATTATGTATCTTTTGATATTTTTTCCATTATCTTTTGACTTATCATGCATCATTCATGATTTATGTTGATAGTTTCTTTTAACACTTGATTATTTCGATCCGAACATTTGTGGTTAGCTATCTGAAAGCATAAGAATAATTGACATTTCCGGATGATTGTAACATGAAAGCAATTCCAAAGTGGAGAACAGTCCCTTCATATTTCCTATTCCATAGTCTCCAATATCTTCCTTTTGACAGCATATATTCTTATTTCTATTACTCATATAAACAAATAATTCTAGGTGAGAACCCTCTCTCTACGACAAATAAAGGATTTTACGGCTATAATTATCGCTATATTATATTTAGCAGCAATTATAAATACTATAAGTTTTTATAACCAACACTTTATATAAATGTCGCTAAAGGCTTTAGCATCTTTAGATGCAATTACATTAACTTTGTTAGGACCGAAAATAATCAGGTGTAATGCGGAAGCTAGCAAAGTAAACCTCGAAAAACCATGAGTAAGAAGACAAACGAGAAATATATCAAAAGACACAAAGATTTAACGTGGTCCGGTCAATCGACCTACATCCACAAAGGAGATGAGCAATTCACTATATAAACATGAGAGTACAAAATATAGAGAGAAATAACATCAACCAATTCACTCGAAACACATGGGAGATTCACACAAGTGATAATGTATCAAGCTTGTGTCCCACAAATTCTCCCCCTAACCAAAACTCTCAAAGCCCCTAGGACTACATTGTGAATGCTGATTAAGTTAGAAGGAACATTCATGTCTCTATTTATAGAGTTCTAAACCTTTTCCTACAAGAAAAAGGCTAGCCACTCCAAAACCTTTTCATAAAAGGAAAACCTATTTATGGTAAGAAACTCAGGACAAATAATACCCAACAAATCTCCCCCTTGGCCTGAATTTCTGACAAAATAAATTTGTCCACCTTCTTCACATAATCTTCAACAGTTTGCTTCTCCTCTCCATAAGCTCTTCCATCAAATCTATGTCTCGACACAGAGAACCTCTCTGAAACAATTTCTCCAACAAAATCTTCATTACTATCAAAAAGGTTGCGGCTAGAACTACACCCGCCAAGATGAACACCCGTCTCTAACTTGACTCCATCATTGAACCATTGGACCTGGCTCCATCATTGAACCATCCAACCTGACTATATAATAAACTTAATTATCACTAAATATTTTTGGAGCAATAAAGCGACTATAAATGCGATGACATTAACTCAATGGCCGCTAAAAGGAAAATATATTGCTACTAAACGTCTCTTTTGTTGTAGTGTCTCTTCAAATGGCTATCAAAAGCTTCATGGGAGGTGCTGAGCTCACCAAATTCTACACTCACACATGTCTAGTCATGATACCTAAAGTGGAATCCCCCCAGTACTTCACAGACCTCAGACCAATCAGCCTTTGCAATGTGACAAGCAAAATCATATCCAAAATCTTGAATAGCAGACTCAGCCCCATCCTCCCTAAGATTATATCCAATAATCAATCTGGTTTTATAAAGGGTAGAGCAATCTCAGAAAACATCCTCTTGGCCCAGGAAATCATTAATGACATCAAAAAACCTAATAGAGGAGGCAATGTGGTCATTAAATTAGACATGACCAAGGCATATGATAGGGTCTCATGGACCTATCTATGTATGGTAATGAGGAAAATGGGTTTCTGTGAAATCTGGATTGATTTGATCTACAGGTACATTTCCAATAACTGGTATTCTATTATTGTCAATGGAGATAGACAAGGTTTCTTCAAATCAGGAAAAGGGCTCAGACAAGGTGATCCCCTCTCCCCCTCCCTTTTTGTACTTTCCTCTGAATTATTATCTCAAATGCTTAATGATCTTCCAAGAAGAAGGGGTTACAAAAGCTTCTATATGAACCAGAATGGACCACAGGTGAATCATCTCTCCTTTGCAGATGATACAATTTTGTTTTGCAATGGGAGTAAACAAACCCTTGAGATGTTCCTTAGAACCCTCCACATCTATGAGAATACTTCTGGTCAATTGATCAACAAGAACAAAAGTTGTTTCTCTGTAGCTAACAACGCTAAACAAAACTTTATTGCCAAGATAAAGCTCATTACTTGTATGAATCATCAGGAATTTCCCATAAAATATCTTGGGTGCCCTCTTATCAGTGGGAAGAAGAAGACTAGTCATTTCAATGAGTTAGTCAAGAACATCATTAACAGAATCAAAGGGTGGCATAACAAATTGCTTTCGACTGGGGGAAGAGTTGTTCTCATCAAGCATGTCCTCTTAGCCATCCCCACCCATCTGCTTGCTGCACTACAACCCACCAAAGGCACCCTTGATAATATTGAAAGATATCTAGCTAGATTTTTTTGGTCTGGCAAAGAGGAGGGTGGTAAACATCATTGGATTGCTTGGAGAACCCTCTGTCTCCCATTTGAAGAAGGTGGGATCAATATAAGAAGGATTGGCGACGTCTGCAATGCTTTCTCGTACAAGCAATGGTGGAACCTTAGAACCAACAATTCATTGTGGACTGAGTTTGTGAAACATAAGTACTTCCAAAATACCCATCCTGCTCTAGTTACTTGGAGGAAAGGACAATCTACTTGGTGGAATCATATGTGTAATATTAGGGAGATAGCAGAAAATGAAATCAAATGGATCTTGGGAAGAGGTGAGGTAAATTTTTGGTGTGACAATTGGTCCCAAATTGGACCTTTATACAAACTTCTCCCTACTGGTTCTAATGTCCACAATATCATGGTTAAAGAAATACTCGAAAATGGAAAGTGGAACTGGAGCATTCTGCAGAACCAACTTCCTAATCAGATTAAGGTC